GCACAGGGCTCGGGGGGGCGGGGTTCTGGCGGCACTCGGCGCAGGGGGGGTGGTTCCGGCACTCGGCAGGGGGGGACGGGACTCGGGGGCGGCGCTTTGTTTTTGCTGCTTGGGGCAGCAAAAAAGCTAGAGCCGGCCCTGCTGGTGCCTCCTTGTGACAGGTGCCCAGGGCAGGAACTCACTGATTTAGGCTCCAGATACAAAAAGGTAACATAGTGAACATTGTGAGGGCAATCTATATGAGAGGGGGCATTGTGTCTAACCCCCAGAGGAAAGGTGAACCAGGGGCTGGGGTTGTCTGGGGGACCATCCCGCTAATGCTGAATGTGATGCTGGCTGGGGGGTCAAGGTCCCCTCCAACCACAATCCCTGGAATGGGAAGGGATACTAGTGGGCAAGTCTAGGTTCCTAGAGACCATCCCAGTGTGATGACTGCCTCCCCCAGGAATTGGCAAAGGTCAATGGAGTGTGAGTGACTGTGCTGGGCTGTCCCCCAGTGGGAACCTTGGTTGCAATTTGATGAATAAAGTTGCAGCCTGATTAAAAGCCATATCATATGCCTCCTTCTGTGTGGTGAGCATACTATTTTCCATTACTGTGGGTAATAGAAAAATACAGCATTAGCAATGGAATACTCCATTAAAAGCTGCTAATGCTTGTCTGGCTGTGCTCCAAGCTTTAGTTCCTTTTCTTTTGAGTAATGCTTTGAACCACAGCTTGCTATCTGTATTGAAATGTAAGTGGGGAGCCATGTAACTTCTGGATTGACCTTGCAAAAACTCTGTGTATGGAGGTGGAGTCCTTTTGGGGCTCTTTAAATGCTACAATAATTCTATTCATCCTTAAGTATTACACTCTGCACCCTTCCAGTCTCCAACTAACCATAGATGGAGATGGTACTTTCTCATAGATTTTGCTTTTTTGGGTGGGTTTTGCATTTAAAAATCATGCAGTTGTGATCTGTTATGTTCTTGTATTGCTATTTTTAGGAAATATGGGGGGAAGTTAAACTGGACCATAGACTATGGCTTTGTTTTGACTTTGACAGAAATAACTAATCCCGCAGTTGCAGAGAACTGATGAAACAGTACTGTACAAATTCGTTCATGTCAAGACTGAAAACCTCTGATGCAAAATTTGCATTAACAAAACATACATTGGTGACATTACTCTTTTTAACTTTACTGCTGATGCTTACTGACAAATGTCTAAGCAAACTGTAAGTAGTGAGCTCTGATGCTTAAGCTCTAACAGTTACACGAGCAAAAATGCCTTGGCATGTGGAAGCTTGTTTTGATTCTCTTGTGCTTAAAAAAAATAAATAAAAATAAAGCCTAGTGGCTGGGCAACTATCACAGCTGCTTCCTTGAAGCCAGGAAAAAGCTGCCTAACTCAGTTTAGTTAGACAACCTGCAGTTCCTCCAGGCATTCTCTGATGCTCCAAGCCTCATCTTCACTGGTTTTGAACATTAACAGTCTACAAAACTAGGTGGTTTCTCCTAAACATCTTCCCTCCTGGGAGGAGTTGTTCCTTCCCTACAAAAGGCCTTGTAATACAGGGAGGGTTGATAATTTCACTATAAATGCAAGTACACCAAGCCTATCTGAAAGCAGAAGTGTCCCTCTTATTACCTCTCTATCTGCAGTATTTTCTTGTATTTAGGAAATACTTGAATCTCTATTTGAGGCAATTCACAAGTTCTTAAAGGCAAAGTATGAGTCCACTGCTCAAATCTGGGAAAAGCGTGTGTACTAGCTATTTTCCATCCTGAGGTTAAAATTGGACAAACTGTGGTCTTATCCTAATAACTAAGTGGCAGTTTCATTCCTAATTTGAAAAAGGTCAGGGTTGGGTCTTGTAAAGCTTCAGTCAGTTCACTTAAAGCATCTCGTCCAAATTAATTCATTTTCCATGAGTTGTTTAGCCTGAAACTAAATAAACAGTGATTCCAAATGCTCATATGAGCATCATTATTGTTTGTTTGGTCAGGTTTTTCATTCTGGTAATATTTTAAAGTAAACATTGGATGCTTATAGCATAATTATTTTGTAAAAATAACTTTAATAGTAATATTCCCACCTCATATCTGGAGTGGAATTTCTAATGTTTAAGATTTCTTCAGGGAAGAGTTTTGCTTCAACAGATTGTTAATCATAATTCCTAGTTAAGTAACAGTCTAATAGTCATAATCTTCAGTGCTAGTTTATTGATATAATCCTGTGAGGTATTTTTGGCAGAACTATGCTAATCTAATTTGGAAACTCTTACAAATAGTTTGTTCCAAGGCCTTCAAAGCCCTTCGTATAAAGCATTTGTTCATGTCTACGTAGTCACTGTCTAGTAAAATGAACATCTTTCATGATCACTGTTAGTAGCACGTATTACAATAGGTCAGAAAGGACAACAAAAAGCTAGGCGTTGCAGTGGCTTCTGTTTCAAAGTTTCATTTGTCTCGTTCAGTGACAGTATCAAGGGCTGTCTCTAAAATGGAGACTGGAATGTGAACACCACATGGTATTGTGGATGGAAAGTGCAGCCTTTCCAGATCCTAACCTGGAATTCCGTATCTCTTGCCAGTGTCCAGGTTCTTCATCCAACGTCCATGTTGTCACCATGATTCCAGGTCTTTATGGTGGACGGCTGATTGAAAATCTTCTAAATTGTGTAGCTCTGAGTGAAGTCTGTGCTCCATGTAAGGTGTCAGAAAGACTTAAGTCCTCTTACCACAGAACTGGCAGTAGGAGGGCAGATAGGCTTAGTGTATTTGCATTTATAGTGAAGTTATCACCCCTCTGTGTATTACAAAGCCTTTTGTAGGGAAGGAACAACTCCTCCCAGGAGGCAAGACATTTATGGGAAACCACCTAGTTTTGTAGACTGTTCATGTTCAAAACCAGTGAAGACGAGGCTTGGAGCATCAGAGACAACCTTTTATCTCTGAAAGAGCTGCAGTTGCTCCAGACACTCCAGCTAAGCTTAGTTTGCTTCCTCCTGTCCTAGAGTGGCTGTTTGGGATATATTCAATCCTAGGCTGCCTTCTAAGGATGCATACATCTGAAGCTGAACTGAAATCACTGAGTACAGATCAGCTATACTGGGTAAGAACTAGTTGTGCCTGGCTTTTGACCTGGAACAAAGTTGAAGTAGGGAATAACTAATTCTATGTCCCCTGCCAGTGGCATGAACACCAACCTGCACGTCCACCACCCAATCAAAGACCAGTAGCTTCATGGTACAGCTATCAGACTGGCTTGAAATAGGTTATGTGGTTTCTAGCTGTTACATCTCCCAAATACTGTATAAACTGACCCAAAGTTAATGCAGAGTTATTGAACTAAAACAAATTTTATTTCTTATTTTGGCCAACCAATTAATCATCATATAATACACTTAAAGAACATGTTGAATCTTTACTAAATACATTCTTGCCTAACTTAATAAATAGTAACTTAAACATAACTCCATATTTCTGGTCTTAATAGCTCCATTATACAAGTCTAAATGATCACTCCTATTTAAATTTAATTTAATTTAAATTTAAATAGGTGACTCCAAGTCCAACATCACCACAGTCACCCAACGATGGAGGAATAGTAGCTGCTCTTAAAGATGTTGTTCAGAAGAGATATAAGGCCCTTTACTCTTCAGGTAGGCTTTAAATCTTTTCTCTTTGCTTAGAAAACTTTAGTATTGTGCTTTTCTCTAAAATTAGGAAATTTTACCAGTGTCTATTGGTATAGTAGTTAGACTGAGCGCAGTAGTGTTCCTCCAGCTTGGTTCTAAAAGGTTCACTGTCTCCATTTAGTCTGGATTTCTGACAGACGTGGACATGGATTTGGGAAATTACCTGTAGACAAGAGTTAATGCAAAATTTAAGAGTAGTCCAGTATCTATTACAGAGGCTACTTCCTAAACTGGTGAGTAATACCTACTAAGTAATTGCAAAAAAATAAGTGTTGCTGGAATAGCATTCTTGAGGTATGATAGCTTACATCAGGGGGTTTCAAACTTCATTGCACCTTGACCCCCTTATGACAATAAAAATTACTACACAACCCCAGGAGGGTGGAGTGAAACCTGAGCCCACCCAAGCCCCACTGCCCCAGGTGGGGGGAGAGCAAGCCCAAGACCAAGAGCTTCAGCCCCAGACATGGGGGCTGTAACCTGAGCCCCACCACCCAGGGCTGAAGCCTTTGGTCTTGGGCTTGTTCTCCGCCCCCCCCCCCCCCCCCCCGGGGCAGTGGGGCTCGGGCTTTGGCTTTGACCCAGACCCCAGCAAGTCTAAGCCAGCCTGACGACCCCATTAAAACAGGGTTGTGACCCACTTTGGGTCCTGACCCACAGTTTGAGAACTGCTAGCTTACATGTTTATAAGGAAAGTGATCAAAACCAAATGCATCAACCAAGTATTGTATAGGCAAAGGAGAAGGAAGGGCTGCAACACTAAAGCTGCAACACTAAAGCAAATACTTAGTTGTATCAAATTTAATATTTTGTTTCAAGTCTATTTTTAAAAGATAGCTGAGCAGAGATGAGTATGTTCTAAAAAGAGTCTAATGAAAACTCCTGATTGACCTAGAGTAGTAGTAGGGGTGTGTGTGTGTGTGTGTGTGTGTGTGTGTGTGTGTAGTAAATATAATAAATAAATGGTATATCTTTCTTTCACCACAGCTCCTGTTCTTTTTGTAGTCTGGATCATCTAGTCAAGGGACGGGCAAACTTTTTTTTTTTTTTTTTTTTTTTTTTTTTT